GTTCGTTTCACGACCACTTACGCTTCGATATTTACGCCATGGGATTCATCAAACGTATCTTGTCTCTTGGAAAAAAGAGAAACTCCAAAACCCAGAAATGTGAGCATGCACGCATGCCCACTTCCAGTCATGCTTCGGACAATCGGCCGGCTGCAAGCCAGTTGGTTGCAGAGGATGAGGACCAGGAGGCTGTAGCTAGCCGTCTACTTCGTTCTTCGTCCGCTCGTTACGCCGTAGTCAGTGAGCTGGATTATGCTTCACTTCCCCCGATACGTACGTCTCTCGCATTCGTGGTCTTCTCAATTCGCTGAAAACAATTGCCAGCCCATCCCATCAACGATGTAATCAACAATCCGTCCACCTCTACGGCAAGCCTTTCGAGTGTGAGCACTGCACAGAGAAGTGCATATTCGGTCACCGTGCATAACCGCGAACATATCGCGTCAACGGACTTCCCCAAGGCTAACCGTGGCCTCGATGGCAACTTGACTTTGGATGACAACGGTGATATAGGTCTGCCCTTCGAAAGCAGCCAGATTTTGCGCCTTCGCTCAGACCCATCTGTAGCGAGTCTGCTCGAACTTTACGACGAGCATGGACGCCTGCCCGTCAAGGCATTTGATGCAGACGAACCGGTGTCCGCTACCTCTGATGGGCGTGCCCAGGTCAAGCGCAATGGCTCCACCTTACGCCAACTCCTCGGCGACCCTCTCAGTCTCAACTTTCGCAAGAATCCGGACGTGAGTGGCGCTGAGGGGGATATATCATGGGCTGAACGGCTGTTGATGTACGTCCGTGGGTCGTACGTGTGCAATGGTATTTACGAAATCTTTTAGTGGACATGAAGACAAGCTGTCCATGCGTTCGGTCCCCTCTGTCTCCGTTGCGTGAGTTTTGTGATTGACGTGACATATTTCTCTCTCAAACGTTCATAGCAGAAATGATGATTCGTCAGAAGGGTCGTCTGTTGGCCTGCAGACACCTGTGGGCGATGCCCATGATTTCACTATTGTCTCGCATGAGCCGTCATTCTCTTCGCACTCAGCCATCTCATCAATGAACGTGGAAGCCAGTGACGCGGCTGATGTATCATCGAACTACAACCAAAACGATACTTCTCTAGGTAATGACCTTAAGACACCCAGGCGAGCGTCCCAGATATTTGGGTTCCTGTCAGAGAAACGTCGTTCTCAGAATGCTATTTTGGACAGTGAGCTAGAACAGATGTTGATCGACAATGTCCGCGAACGCGCTCTTCCACAGTTGCCCAGCTATTTCAGCTCTCCATCCTCGCAAGGCGATCATGGTGCTTGCGGTTCGCACTTCTCTGATGATAGCGAGGATAACGTCACGCCCAAAACGCCTCGAGGATCCCATCAGCGTAGCAACTCTTCTAACGATGGCCGTGCATCTGACACATTGATGAGCATCTTCAAGCGCTCACGCAGCAGGTCGATTTCTTCGGAGTGTTCAGGTGATGAACGTCCCACCTTGGTTCCCTGGACGAAGCGCTCGCGTTCACGTACGAGTTCGACCACGTCAACTGGCACACGGCAGCGGCTCACGATCTCGCGTCCCCTGCCACAGCGCCGTCGTCGCACTGCAACGGAAAGTAGTTTCGCCACGCTGGATTCGCAGGACGAACCTCAGCTGCAGCAAGCATGCAAAGTTCAGCTCGGTGCGCGCCAGTTTGCGGTCGTTCTGAACGCTTCAACGCAGGTCATCGTCACTGCACCCACCCCTTGCCACAATGAAGTCGCTCCTTCGCGCCTCACTCTGGAATCTGCGCGACGCAAGTCTGCTGCGGCGAGCGGTCCCCATGGGCCGCGTGCTCCGAAGAAGACGTTGGGTTCTGTGTCAGAGAACCGCCGCCCGGCCTTCGCAGAGCGCTCCAATGCTGCCGAGGATCATTTCACTCGTATCCCCCGCCGTACGCGTGGTCCTTCTGGTGAGAGTCGCCGCTCGTCCGCCGGCTATGAGAGCCGCCGCGCGTCCCAAACACTGTCGCAGTCCCAGGGTTATCGTCGCTCGTCGCGTACATCGACAAAGCCGGCCGCGGCGGAGAAGGAGAACGGCTCGGGTGCAACTGGATTGTCCGCCAAAGTTGAGCTTCCCTCTACGCCCATGCGTTCGTCGTCGCAGCGTTCGTCCTTGATGGCCATTGTCACCCCGATGTGCAGCATTCAACCTCCCGCGTCGCCCGCCGGCTCGGCCGAGCTTTCGCCCATTGGCAAGCAGATGATGTCTGATTTGCGCCAGCAGCATTTGAAGGCGCGCGAGCTTCAGAGGAAGCGTTCGCGTTCCAGGATTCCCCAGGTTTTCGGCTCAGCTTACCAGTGATGCGAGTCTTTGCTTCGGCCTTGTCACGCCTTTGACTGGTAAATGGACATCACGAATAGACCGATCCTCTCTTCTCTTCCATATTCAAATGATCACCCTCGTTTTGTATCTATTATCATGGTTTGTTGTCGCCATGTTTTTTTTTTCCGCTTATTTTCATATTCTTGTTTCTTGCTGTTCAGTGTCATGCGATACCTCTCTCCGCTCTGTTTACGCTTGACGCGTGCCAAACTCTCCATTGTTTCTTGCTATTTATCTGATCTGTTGCTGTTAGTCTTGAGCTCGTATAGTTTTGTCACGCAATTCTCGTGTCAAGATTTCACTGCAGTTTATGCCAGAAGAAAACCCATTAGTACACTGTTCACTATGATTGTATTTGAGAACTATGCTAAAAATACTTATGCGTAAAGTGCCGTTGAAGATGCATGCGTGAAAGTGAAGCTTGGAGTTAGAATTTTGTGAGGCGTGTGCGTGAGGAATGATGCATGATGAAACAAGTGGAGACGTTGAAGTAATGGAAGCGTGGAAACCTTTTGAAAGCAATGGGATAAAAGTGACATGGAATTCCGTGAAGATGCGTGAAGAAAGGAAGAGGAAAGAAAAGAACATTAGTACTCTTGTATAGGATTGCTAAATGTAGTCAGCAGATTGTGCTCGGACTTGTGCGTCAAAGTGTTGATGATTCCCTGAACTGCAACTGACCAACGCTGCGTCGGCGCGCACTTCAGATTGAAAGTGCGCAGGCTCCTGCCGAAGGGCAGAGGGACTTCCTCTGCCCGCGCATGCTCCAACTGTTCCGGCAGATATTGGTCCTCATCCGTTGGATAGTCCGGGAGAACACTCAACGAAAGATGTGCGACATTAGGCATACTGAGCTTCGCGAGCGGATCGAAAGGCACGGACGTGACGATGGCAAGGATCCTGAGCTGCGGGAGGATACGCCTTGTGGCGCGCTGCAGGGCACCGAGCGCGGGCGGACAGAGCGTGATCTTACTGAAGCGCGCGGAAACGAGTTGCAGGCATGCGACAAGTACGCTGTAGCAGTCCATAAGCGCCAGCTCCGCACAATCTAGTGCGATATGCTGTAGCTGGTCGGATAGTGGAAGAGCTATGAATGTGGGTGCTGGGAGTGAAGACCCAGTCCATGAGAAGCTGCGTATTTCCCGCATGCGTGCGAGAGCGGACGTGCCATGTTGGGAGCCATCAGATTGCTGATGCGCAAGCAGGTGTATCAAGGGCTGGACGACGTTGCCAGGCGCGATGATATCTACTCGTTTAAAATCGTTGAAAACTCCATGTGCACTGAGGAGTTCGAGAATATGGCTGAGCGCTGCACAATCGCCGTCACCAGTGAGAGAGGTGGTTTCACTAGCAGCGAGGTGGATGGTGTCCAGGTCATGACCAGCCTCCCTCTCGTGGCGCACGATATCGGCTATTTTTTGGATCGCTTCAGGCCACGGTAGACCGTCAGTCTCATCGAGACAGACGCAGAGCGTTCCGTTCTCCGCGAACTCGAAGGTCACTTTCGGACAGTCACGGATGGCATCGTGGACAGCGTACACAGGCGAACACAACCCGGTCGAAAGATGGGCAAGTTTTTCGTCATACCGGTGCGGCAGAAAGAAGCGACATATGAGGCGCCACAAGCCTGTGATTAGCCTACGCGGGATCGAAAGTGGAGTGCCAGAGGGTTTTTTCTGTTGGGCCGTGTCGCCAGAGGATAGTTCACCAAGAATCTGATTGATTGGAGTGAATATCTGGCTGAAGACATGTTTGAACACGGACACAGGCTGGCCTGCCGCCAACCTGCTTTGCAAAGGGCCAATACAATTTGCCAGTGCGCTGGCACGGGCTTGCGGACATACTTCTGCAATGCAAGATGTAGTGGCCGCAGTTCCAGAACCAGGTAAGTCAATCGTTTCGCTCCACGGACTATCCGACAGGACGGCGCTAGGAGGGGGAGTTACGCCATGCGCTTCTGAATAACCAGGATCTGAGAATTCTTCGAGTTTACGCGCAGCCTGACGATACAGTGCGTTGCGGCGCAGACCATCGGATGTGAGTGAATCTGAACCACGGCGCCGGGGACGACAGTACAACGTCGGATCGACAGGAATGCCATCGGACCTGTCGAGCAAAGGATTCCAGGGTCCCGTGCAAGTTCGCGACGCGAAGATGTTGTTCTACGTGAAAATTGATTTCCATTTCACCACAGGACGAATAAGGCAGTATGAAACTGTACGTACCATTGTGAAAGAAGCCATAAAAGTCGACTCTTGTGCCAGTGTCGCTTTCTATACCCAATGCTTCTCAATCGGTGTATTATATAGAATGAACCTAGGAATAGAGAACAATGACGACTAACATGGCCACAAGAAATTGCGCATTCCCTTGGCAACAGCACAAAGCCACAGTAGGACAAAAGACCATCAGGGGCAGGGCCTGTACATTAGACCGTCCAGTTGTCGAGAAACCTTTGCTTGGGCCACATTGCCATGATATATCCCCGACGTAGCATCGTTGTCGTTGATTGTGGACAGACCTGTTGGACAAGGAACATAACAACCGAGTTTTGTAGACGAAACAAGACCAACAGCAGCGCGTTATCACTTCATACTGAAAGGATATTGTGAAGTAAAATAGATACTCTCTCGCGATAAGGTGGTATAGTGTAGTGGTTATCACTCAGGATTCTGATTAATTCAGCAATTCCTGAAACCCAGGTTCGATCCCTGGTACTACCTCTAACCGACGTATATCGTGGTTGTTGTTTTTGCTCCATCATTTTCAACAGGTCCTCATTAACATTCCACGTTGCCAAGAGTGATCTTTGTTTGCTCGCATTTCTGTTGTTCCTCCTTTGACTGTTCGATATATATTTCTTATAACTAGACCTCTCGCTTTCAAACAACAAACTCAGCGAAGACTTCGACTAAAATAAACCGATGAATTCTTTGCCCTCGCCCTCGAGCTCTTCAGACAACTCGACCCCCACGAACTCTAGAAAACGTCAGCGCAGCCAGTCCATGCAGTCCGACGCCTCTTCGTCGTCCACGAAACGCCCTCAACCACAGCCACCCGCCGTCGACGAAGATATTGACGCGTACATGGCCACTCAGCCTGACCAAGACACACCCATGTTCGCAGTCCCATTGGATCGTTTCAAGACAGTACAATCGCTGAAGCAGCAGCCTATGCAGCCCGGCCAGACGTGGTACCTTGTTGCTGCCGAATGGCTCAAACGCTGGACCCGAGCCACATCAGGCGAAATCGACAAGGAGGGTCCTTTGAGCGAAGACGAGCTCGGTCCCGTAGACAATGCGTCGCTACTCGACAGTCTCGGCAACCTCAACGCCGACGCAGTGGAGGGGATCGACATGGACTACGTACCGGAAGACGTTTGGAAGCGCTTCGTCGAATGGTCAGTGAGTCGTTGATCTCACAGGTATGATCATGCTCACAGGTCGCAGGTACGGTCCGCCCACGCATGTCCTGCAGCGAAAAGTTATCTTACGCGCGGCACATCCGGTGCTGGAGCTGTATCCGCCACGCGTGTGTGCGATGCAATTGACAACAGTACCTAATCCACAATCAGGCGATCCCGCACATCTGTCTGTGTCTGCAGCAGCATCGACAAAGGATCTCGTGTCGCAGTTGGCACAGGCGCTTGTACCAGATGCGGCAGGACCATATCGTGCATGGCGCGTGAATGTGGAAGCGCGGGCGCGCTTCTTCCCCGTTGCTTCGCTAACACCCTCAGACGGCCGTCTGATCATCGAGTCAGATACGCGCACGGCTGAGGAGGAGGGCGTTATGGAAAATGACGTGTTTGTCGTCGAGTTCCAGAAAAAGAGTGGCAAGTGGTTGGTTTCCGACGATGTCGAACCAGGTGAGGTCCAAGAGGAGAAACCTTTGTTCGGTGACGCAGGCTTCTTCGAGTCGAAGAAGTTCGACAACAGAAACACCCCCTCGCGATACGGCCCCGAGGAGCCACCCAAGAAGTCTTTTTCCCCCTCTCTCGCCAGGACGACGCCGTCACGCGAGCCTGGTACGGTGGGTCTTGGGAACATGGGCAATACCTGCTTCATGAACTCAGCGTTGCAATGTCTTGTGCACACGCCTGAACTCATGGAGTACTTCTTGAGCGGCGTATTTACGGAGGAGCTCAATCCAGACAATCCTCTTGGTATGCATGGCGCCATCGCGCAGGCGTTTGCCGTGTTGGTGGAGCGGCTGTGGTCGACCGACGGTGGCTCGACAAGGTAAGTTCTGTCGTTTGCTCCATTCACGATTACACTAATTTTCCTTAGCTCGTACACGTCGTCCTCATCTTACACACCCCGCGACTTTAAGATGCAGCTGCAGCGCTTTGCGCCACAATTCTCGGGGTATCAACAGCACGACTCACAAGAGCTTGTCGCGTTCTTACTGGACGGGCTTCACGAAGACCTTAATCGGGTGTTGAAGAAGCCGTATGTTGAAAAACCTGACTGGGAAGGTGGTAGCGTCGGCCAGCAGGTCAACGGTAAGAAACTGGTCTCCGCTCGATGTTCTGACTGACCGAAGTACCAGGTACCGTTGAGACTGTCAGCCGTACCCTTATGGCTCGGTATGGTCGTGAGCTGCTTGACCTCGCAAGTCGCAGTTGGGAAGGTTACATGAAACGCAATGACAGTGTCATTGTTGATCTATTTCAGGGGCAGTATATGAGTACATTGGTGTGCCCGGAATGTGACAAGGTCTCCATCACATTTGACCCATTCATGTACCTCACACTCCCACTTCCCATCTCAAAGAAGTGGACGCATGATATATACTACGTTCCTTGGGATCTTGAGAAACCACACCTTAAGGTATGGAGTATTTTTTCTCTCATGCTTCGTTAACTGACGCCATGCTCCTATACTCCTAGGTACCGATAGAGATCAACAATAGTGCGTCCTTCCGAGATGTACGGGCCCTACTGGGACGATGGATGGATGCCCCGCCTGAGAACGTGCGATTAGTTTTTTGGTTGTTGTTATTTGATTCTGTACTGACGTCTGTCGTCACACGGATGCTTCGCATTCCTGCTGTGACTCTTGGTGTTCCCGTACAGCTGTTGACCATGGAAGTCTTTTCGTCAAAGTTCTGGAAATACATGGACGATCATCAGATCTGCAGCGAGGTCCAGCCGAACGATATCATTGTGTGTTTCGAGCTGCCGTGTCTGTCGCCGCAGAGCCGACGGTATCTGGAGCGTAGACAACGGGAAGAGAAGAAGCGTGTAAAGCTGCGGGCGGCGAGGTCGAGAATCGACGACGATTCGGATTCAGACGATGAAGCTGTGAAGAAGGGCGAAGAGCCTGATGAAGAGCCTCTGCCGTTTGTCTTGCCGGTTTTTCTTGGCAATGCTCCTGCGCCTGCGAGGTCTAGCCATGTGCCCCACCGGTGAGCATTCCTTACTTGACGATTGTTACCTAGGGAACTCAACAAGTGATTTCCTCACAGACTCAACAACAGTGCTCGTTCTGCCAAAGACGACTTCGGATATCCTTTCATTGTGGCAATTGACTATAAACAAGCAAAGAGCTTGGACGGCATCTATAGAGCCGTTGCGGAGCGTTTACAACGCTGGACCCGTCATGCACGAGACTTATTTTCATGGGAGGCGCCTACTCCAGGCTATGATACTCCTGTGGTACAGGTGTGTCTATTCGTTGATCTGACTGCTTGTTCTCGAACCGCCACAATTCTAGGTGCCTCTCATTCACAGCGGAAAGGATAGCATTGTGGAGATCACTGCGCAGGACGGTGTCATGTCGGTCACGGAGCAGCAGGTCATTCCCGACGAGGGTGACATCGTGGATGAAACCGCCGCCATTTTCGACGATGCTCCGGTAGTCGATGGGGTAAATTGCCGGTCGTCGTCACCGATCAAGCTTGGTCCCAAACATGACGTCTTCGCGATCAGATTGCAGATGAAGCTGAAAGAAATGGGTGCTACGTCGAGCTCTCATTCTTTACCATCTTCCGACTTCGGGTGGACGAAGCGTTTGAGCTTCCTCGGTTTGATGGCTGAAGCTGTTCGAAGCGAAGCAGGCGCGGCAGCTGATCCCACGCGTCCTCCACTACTTCATCACGACGACGGGCTCATTTGCGAGTTCGACGAGAACATGAAAGATTACTACTTTGGCTCCGAGGCTAATAAGTGGGAAACCGCACTCTGGGACAAATGGCCCGAATTTGTGCACCCGGAGCTGGAGGCGGCGCGCTTGGCAGAGTTAGGTCAGAGCAACCGCTCAGTGATCACCTTGCAGGATTGCCTGGACGAGTTCACGAAGGAGGAGCAGCTGGGCGAGGACGATCTGTGGTACTGTCCACGGTGCAAGAAGCATCAGCAGGCGACGAAGAGTTTCGATCTATGGAGTACGCCAGACATACTCGTTGTCCATCTGAAGCGCTTCAGTAACAGCCGTGTGCTGCGCGACAAGATCGATGCGTTTGTCGATTTCCCAATAGAGGATTTGGATTTGGGTGACATGGTCGGGGAGCGCAAGGTTAGGAAGAACAATGGCCTCGAAGGGGAAGATGATGACGAGCCGCTTGTGTATGACTTGTTTGGTGTCGATGAGCATATCGGAGGTCTTGGCGGTGGCCACTATCGAGCGTACGTCTTGAACCACGTCACGGGCAAGTGGTATCACTTCGATGATTCTTTCGTAACGCCAGCGAAAGCCACCGAGGCGGTGGTATGTACATCGATATTTCTATGCCTTTCTCGAGATAAAGCTGACTTACCATTTAAAGAACCCGAACGCATATCTCCTCTTTTATCGTCGTCGCACCGCCACACACCTAGGTGGGAAGAGTTACAAGAAGATTTTGGAGGCGAAAATGCGTCGACAGATACAGCAGATGCGGATGGAGGCAGAGCAGGCGAGAGAGCTGAATAATTCGATGACACTGGACTCGCACCAGCTGCCCACGCCCCCTAGCGAACCAGAGTACACGCAGCGCGCGCCAATGGTGACGGTTGAGAGTTCGCCCTGGCAGCCGGACAGTAGCAATCTGGATGAGAATAATTATGCTCCCCTCGAGGATACGATTGACCCCCTCAACCCGGACGCATTCCCTTCCCTTGAATCTGATCCGCCGTCCTTTTCCGAAGCGCAGTACGATCCTGTCCTCATGGCGTCGCACCGGTACGACACGTCCTCCCCTCCTCATCGTATGGACATTGATTGACGTTTTTGCGTTTGTGCCCCGGCTGTGCGACCACCAGATTCAACTTTCCGGATCCGTCGGAGAGCTCGAACGGGTTGAGTTCACCGACCTCGTCGAATGAGGCGTCGCGCGATCCTGACTCCGATGATGAGGTATGGTCGTCTGACAACATGCAGTTCAGCTCCCATCATACGCCTTCAGGCAGTAATTCTCCTGCGTACACCGAAAACAGCTCGCCGAATCCTCCAATAGCCAAAGCTGGAGATGCAGGCCAACTGGAGGATATCTCTGATCTCTTGGATCTCGAGACCTTGGGTGGCGATACCGGTCACGGACGATGATTTTACTCCGCTGATTGTTCTTACTGACACCTTATAATTGCTCACCCGACATTATTGAAAAATATCATGTATTGTACGAAAACGCATAACAATCGCCCATGTGCATGAGCATTCCACAAACAACAACTTTTCTGATCTTGCTGAATTGGGAGCAATATGCACGTGATGCCGCGTATTATTAGGCGGGCGACCACGTG